GGCAGGAGTATGCATGACTCATTCAGAGAGCCACAAGGAATCCACAATGGCCGAAGTGGAGTACATGAGAGAGAAAGGTGATAGGGAATGAGGTTAGCTATGTAATTGATGATTAGATCATGTAGGTCATTGTAGATCATAGTGAGACTTTTGAAACAGCATTTATTTATTTTACAGACAAAATTGTATTCAGCAATTTCAAGAAATTCATCCTGTACAACAGGATGTTTCGAAGTTTATACACATTGTAGAATGACTCAATCGAGCTAATTAGCATATGCAGTGCTTCCCATAGTTATCATTTTTGTGGTGAGACACACAAATGGCCAACAGGTATAAGATAAAATGTTTATTACTAATCAGCTGAGAAATGCAAAGTATAAACCACAATGCCATATGACCTCACACCTGTTAGAATAGCTATTATCAAAAGATATCTGCACTGCCATGTTCATTGCAGCACTATTCACAATAGCCAAGATACGGAATTAACTTATCTATTAATGGATGAGTGGATAAAGAAGATGTGGTATGTATACATGCACAATGGAAAACTATGCAGCCTTAAAAAAGACAGAGATGTGGGTGGCACCTGTGGTTCAAAGGAGTAGGGTGCTGACCCCATATGCCAGAGGTGGCTTGTTCAAACCCAGCTCCAGCCAAAAACTGCAAAATAATTTTAAAAAAAGATGGAGACGTTACATCTTTTGTTTTAACCTGGATGGAGGTAGAACACATTCTTCTTAGTAAAGTTTCACAAGAATGGAGAAGTGGGAGGTGCCTGTGGCTCTAAGGAGTAGGGCGCTGACCCCACATATTGGAGGTGGCAGATTCAAACCCGGCCCTGGACCAAAAACTGCAAAAAAAAAAAAAAAAAGAATGAAGAAGCAAGAGTCCAATGTACTCAATGCTAATATGAAGCCAGTAGATGAGCTAATATGAGAGGTGGGGGACACAATTACAAGAGAGACTTAACCTAACAAAGTCAGTGTAATGTAAGTCTTTGTGCCCTCAGTGAATCCCAAACAATAAAAATAGGGAAAAATAAAATACATGTGGAATTTTAAAAAAGTGCTCTCATAGAAATAGACAATAGAATAGTGGTTACCAGCGTCTGAAGTGGTTGAGGGTGGAGTAGGGAGATACTGGTCAAAGGATATAAAATTTCAGCCAGACAGGCACAGTAAGTCCAAGAAACCTGTTATATAATATGGTGACTATAGTTAATAATAAATTGTATTCATGAAAAATGCTAAATGGGTGAGGCTTTTAAAATGTGAAGAAATTGGAGGATTTTGAGCAAAGAGAGACATTATCTGACTTACCACTTAAAGGTATCCTCTGGCTGATGCATGGAGAACAGACCGTAGGGGAGCAAAGCAGAGGCAGCAAGACTGATTAAGAGGCTTTTACAATTATCTTGATGAGGGATGATGAGCCAGAGTGGTAAGAGCAGAGGTGATGACCAGTGGCTTTATTCTGGATATGTTTCCTTTTGAATAGAATGCTAATGAAACTGGCTGATAGGTTAGATGTGTAATATGAGAGTAAAAGAAGAGCCGAGGATGACATCAGAAGATTTTACTTAGAGCAAATGGAAGCACAGAGTTATTGCTTGAGACCGGAAAGACGCAGGAGGACCAGATCTATGTATGTGTATGAGACTGGATATCTGAAATTCAGATCTGAACATGTTAGTTTAACCCATGGTTTATATTTAACTGGTGGGTTAAGATATGATTTTAAAATGTGGAGAGATCCTAGAACATCTAGGAACATCTAGGTTCTCTTCTGGAACATCTGGTTTCTAGAAGATATCTAGGATGCAGATATTAATTTGCAAGTCATCAGCTAATAAATGATGTTTGCCTTTGTTTTTTCCTTGTATCTTCCTTTAGCTTTTGAGTAGGGTGAATTGGTTGGCAACCATTTCTTAATTTGGCTGTGCAATTACATATTATGGTGGCCTGAGCGCAGGTTATGATTATGTGTTCACATATCATGGACAATCTGTTCTAACACTACAATCATCTGAACCTACACAAAAGTTGTCTCCTTCTGTTTCATAGCCAATCTGCTCATACCACAGGCATCCATTATTGTGCAATGGTTAATTGTAACCTTGCATGACATTGGTGTTTTCCACACACTGTCCGTGGCATGCACCATCCTGTCTACTTTAGCAACGTGGCCTGGCTTCTTCATTAACTTTCAAATCAATATTGGGTTTTACTTTCTGCTCATGTATCATAGTTGTCTGAATATTCATGTCATTATGTGATGGTCCTTTACTGTAAGTTTTACTTTCTTCACCATGGAGAGGTGCACTGTATTTGTGTGTTCACACATTATAGACAACTGTTTATTAGCTATGGTCTTCATTACCCGAAGTGTATCACTTCTTCACTATGGTCATGTATCTCTCTTTCCTCTCTGCTTCAGTAAAAAATTTGTAACCACGTCTGCCTATTCCTGGACAATGGCCTACTGTTCCTACACCGCAGCAGTCTAATTACATAACATGGCCATCTGCTCCTAAACCATGTCACTTGGTTCCTGTATTATGGCTGCCATCATGTGTACTTACATTATGGTTAAGGATTAATTTACCAAGTACGTCTTCCCATGTGTCATGGTTTTGCCAGGGTTGCCTTCAGCTACATGGATACTTAGTCATTTTTGAAGGCTCTTTGTTCCACTCTCACACTTTTCAGTTTATGTACTCTAGTCACTTGAAAAATCACCAAATTTGTCATAAGTATTTTGAGTATCTCTTCTCAAGTCCTTGTCTGCATTTGTTTGATGATTGCATGTGTGCCATGGATATATCTTCATTTAATGCTAAAATCTGATTATATGCTATATTTCTTTGCAGATATAACAGTTTCATTTACTGTTTTGTGAATATTTGCTAACATGCCAATGCTACCTGTTCCAGTGGCATTTTTGAAAATGCTAATTATTGTAAAAAATACCACATAACATAAAATGTTAAATCTTAGCCATTTTTCAAGTATAGGTGTTGTTAAGTATAGTCTACCTTCTAATGAATTATGGTTGTTTGAACATATGCTTATTTATGATTTCATATACTATTATCTTCTCATGCTTCATGCTATGTATCATAGTTTTGGTCTTCCAAATCAAGGGCGTTTAGTCCTGTCATTATCATCTAGTCTTAGTGTGACAGTTCGCAGCTTGTTTCCCATAATAATTTGAACATAACCTATAGCTATGTACTAAAATAGCGTAGTCGAACCCACGCCATGGATGCTTTTGTTTATGCATCCTGGTTGTCTTCTCCCACACTCAGGGTCATTACTCATGCCTTCATATCTTCTGAGCATATGCAGTATGGTGATGTATTGTTTTCCATGGATTATTCCTACGTCATATCCTATGCCTAATCTGTCTTTTCATGTAGAGTAATTGTCTATTCATTTGTCATGATTATCTAGCATTAACCCTTGTCATGTGCTCTTACAACATTAGGGTCTGCTTGATCCCTGTGGATGTTTGCGCATGCTCGTGTATCACGGTTACCGTCTATTCCATGGATGGTCCTCACGCCCCACAGGCACCACATTTTCTTATCAGACACTGTGGTTTTCTAAACTGTGCTGTTCCTGTCCTTTCCTGTAAAATGCCCATTAACTCTTGTGCAATCCATTAACCATAATGTTACAGCATATACATTATGTTGTTCATAAGAAATTGCCATTTTTGTGAAATAATTGTCAAATATTGGTAATTTCATATGGTAGAATCTAATACTATGATTATTTATATCTCTGATGTGGATACTTCATCATGTCAAAAGTCCTTCTTTTCCAGTATCATAGCTTTTTCATATACCAGATTCATAAAGACAGCTTAATGTAGAGCTCAGTGGCTGTATTTCACGGGGTGGAACGCTAGATCTTAATCTAATCAACCATAACGGCTCCCCAACACAGATCTGTTTTATATACTGGTCTCTTCCATGTGCTCTTGTTGGAAAAAAAGTTGTATATCCCTCTATTCCCTCTGAAAATTAATCCACTCATACAACTGAAAAAATAGTATGGTGGTGAGTCACAGTTTAGTTTCCTTCAAGTAATCAGTGTTTCAGATTCAAAGAAGCCACATAGGCAAGTAAGTGTCACTTTATTGACTGCTTTCTTAACTCCATGTCTTGGGTAAACCTCTCTCTATTCAGAGTTAATACAACAGCCCTGAACTCCAGTTCTGTCCTCAGTATAAGTTTCTGACTTCTTAGGGACTCTAGGAGGCTGGGCTTGGATTTTTTGCTTTGTGTTGTGGCCCCTACCTAAAGAAGTGGCCATTGTCATCAGTTATCTCTTTATGGGTAAACATTGCATTCTTATTCAAGAGCTATGACATATGGTGTCTCATTAGTCAGTATTTTCTCAACCTGACTCAGAGCAAAAAGTCTATCTACTTCAGCCTTTTCATCTTTTGGAAAATTACTTAACTCTGTCAAGATGAGAATCAATCCCCAAAATGCTATAAAGAGACTCCAGGTCTTAATATGACTCTGCAACCATTGCACAGTTAACCAAGGGAAAGGCCTTTGTGACACCAAAAGATCAAACTGGGAATTGGAGGGAAATAAAATGAAGACATGAGAAACTATTTTAAGCTCTTGTGTTCTAAGAAGTAACTGAGGCTAAGGGAAGTTCTATGACTCACCTATGGCAAGACAAGGAAACAGATGGAACTGGAACCTAAGACTCCTGATTACCGACGTAAAGCTATCCTGGGCAGGTTTTCTTGTATAGAATCTGGTTGATTCAGGAGAGGGGTTGGGAACGAATTCTGGTGCCATTGATAAGCTAGGGAGAGAGAACTGCGAAATTAAGCACTGAGTATTGAAAACTAGACAAGTTAAATGGCTCTAATACAGTTGAATAAGAACATTCTTTCTTACCTCTTTTTCCTCCCTCCTTTCTTTTCAATCCCATTCCCCTTCCCCCTTTTCTGAACTATCAATCTCCCAGGTCTCTCCAAGTTTGTGTCTAAGAAGATGGTGATCACACAAATGAGTCACTACTATATGACCATCATTGGGCTTCTTTTCCTGGTCATTATGTTCCCTGCAACTACAGGCCAAGGGGAATCAAGACGACAAGAACCTGGGGACTTTGTGAAGCAGGATATTGGCGGGTAAGAACCCTAAACTCTTGAAAGAAGAGTGTGATAAAGGCTTGTCTCAGACCAAAACTTCAGACTTTTCTCACCCACAGATGAACCCCAAATACTCTGATACATTACATGGTATTCAGCAAAAAAAAAAAAAAAAAAAAAAAAAAAAAAAAAAAGAAAAAGAAAAAAAAGATCATGAGCTCATACTGTCAAGGTGAAAAGAAATCTCAAAGGTCTTTCTGCTTGGGCAACCACCTAGCCCATGCTTGAACCTCCTCTGTAATTTCTTAAAAGCAGCTCTCTTCAGCTATTTGCTCTCAATTTTATCTCTGCTCTCCTAGATCATCTTTAACCTGTCTATTTTTATTGGCTTTGGTCCATTAACATTAAAACATGATCAAAAATGTCCCATCTTAAATTTAAAACTCTTCCCTCCAGATAGAGCCTTTAAGTCTTTGCTTCACTTGGCGGGCGTATTTCCTGAAGAAGCGCCGGGCTTCCTCATCTCTAGGTATCTCCCTCACACGCCCCCACTGCTGCCGCCTGACTGCCCGTCTCATGACTCTCAGGTGACTTCTCTAACCAAGATGGCCACTGTTGGCGCTGTTGCTAAAATGAACAGTTTATCTCTCCTTATGTTACTGAATTCCTTTAGTAGCATGTTGACTTTTCCCTCCTTCACTTCTTTGTATTATGAAATAAAACACACACATAGAAATATGCGTTAAATATGAGGTTACATTTAAGAATAATTCTGTCTTCAGAGACACTGCAATTTCCTGGTGCTTAGTTTAGCTTCTCTACATGCAAGGCATGAAACAAGGATTCTTGAGCAAATAATTTATTGAAAGATCACTAAGGAGAAAACTGTAAGAAAACAAGAGAAGAAAGACAGAGAAAAGGAAGAAGTAAAGCAAAAATACCACCTCTGTTTGACCTCCTGTGCAGGTGTGAAGCATAAACGTCATTGTAGATTTGTCCTGTCTTCGGGCAAAGGGCCCACGCTTTGTACCCTCATCTCAGTCAGGCATTGCCTGTGGGTCTCCTGGAGGAAGGCGTAGCCTCCTAGACATTTTAGGCTGAGGTGGCTCCCTTCCATAGGGGTAATTCTCCAAAGTAGCTGGAGGATGGTTTCACTGGCCCAGTAAAGGGAATCTGGGCATAGTGCCAAGAATAAATGCTACATTTCATTTTCTTTATACATATGTGGCTATGCTTTCTACAATATTTTCAAAATATTACACAGTTACTTAAAAGCCTTTTGTGATATAAAGATCTTTTTCAGTCTTCCCCGCTTTTGTACATCCCTCAGGTGTTGGTGTTTTTCTTTCTTCTAGGAGATCTTCTTAACACACAGGTGCTCTAGTGACTTCATCCATTTCTACAACATAATTACCTTATAGCTGTGGTTCTCAACCTTCCTAATGCCACAACCCTTTAATACAGTTCCTGTGGGTCACGACCCACACGTTGAGAACTGCTGCCTTATAGACATAAATGCCAGTGACTGTCATCTCAGTCTCCATTCCTGACCTCTCATGAGTATCCAACTTTTATATTCCAGTGTCTATTGGACATACCCACTTGGCTATTACATAAACGCCTTAAACTAAGCATGTCCAAAGTAGTCTCATTATCACCATCTTCCTCCTCATTCTTAAAGGAAAACAAAATAAAACAAACAACAAATAAACAAAAATATTCCTCTTCCACTTTTGTTTTGTTTCATCCAGTGTAGCACCACACACCTAGTTGCTCAAGCCAGAAGCTTGCAATACATTTTGCAAGTTTTCTACTCTTCACTCTCCATATTGAATCAATTACCAAGATATGCCACTTCTACCTCCCACATCCCATGGATTCATCTACTTTTCCCCAAGTTTCATGCTACCACTTAATGTTGTTTCCTACTTGGACCATTGCAAGACCCTCTAATTTGTCTTGCTTCCTGAAGTCTTATTCCCATCCAAACTAACCTCCACTCTATAGCCAGTGTTTTATCTAAAATGCATGTTGACCCATACCTACCCTAGCTTAATGGTTTCCTATTGTCCCCAGAATAAAGTCCAAACTCCTTAACATGATTTTATAAGGCACAGTATGACCCAGCCTCTACCCGCCTTTTTAGCCTTATCTCTTAGTCCTTTTGCCACCAAACCCTGTGTTCTTTAGCAATGTTGAACTTCTTTTAGATTTTATTTTGTAATATATATTTTTAATTTTAATTTTTAATTAAATTATAGCTATGTACATTAATGCAATTATGGGGTACAATTTTAGATTTTAAAAATCCCATTTCAACCAAGAAATGTCATTACTAGAAATGGTCCCTTCGCCTTCCAATATTTCAGTATTACATGAATATTTTGTTCCTTGGTAGTGCCTTTTTTGCATTTTACATTATCCCATTGTCTTACATTCTTGGAAGCATGCATATTGAAGTAGGAATTGTTCCTAATTATTTTTGCAGCATTGATTACCTTAATGTACTCTGAGTCTTTTCATCTTCTATCAGCATGGGGCTGAGGCTGCAGAACTGGATGTTTATGTCCTTAGAATCTTGGCATGTGAGATTTTTTTTTCTTTTTCCAGATTTGGAAAATCCAGACCAGTTCTGTTTTATTAACTCTTCATGTGTCTGATTTCACTGGGCTATGATAGATGTTCTAGATAAGATGGAGGTTCTAAACATAGACTCTTAACCTCTTCAAGCATTAAAACCTTTATAAAGTTTTCTAAACAGGTATTGCGTATTTCTTTATAATCATAAACAAGGACTTTGGTAGCATTTGGTCATCATAAAGAAAATTCAAGGCCAGGTGCAGAGGCTATACCTGTAGTCCCAGCTACTCAGGTTTTTTGAGCCTAGAAGTTCCATATCAACCTGAGCAACATAGTGATACCTTGCCTCTAAAAAAAAAAAACAAAACATTATATTCATTCTATATCGTTTTCTTTTTGTCCCTATTTTCAATGTTAATTGTCACCCCTCCTGTTTGCATTGGGTTGTTTACATCCTGTTGGTAATTAGAAAACCAGATAGTCAAGACTTAGTAATTATATTAAAAGAGGAAGCCAAGAAATCCTGCCTGAGAAAACAGAGTGAAGTGCTTGATGATAACACAGAGGCATAATGACTGCATGTTTCTTGAATTAGAAACAGTTATTTTGTTTACTTTCTTTCAAGTCCACTATATTTCATACTTTTGAGGGACAAGACTACTAATACCCTGGCTTCAAATATTAGGGTTGGCACTCTATCTATACTTAGAAGTGAATTAATATAACTTCCCAAACATATTGTGTGTGCTGGTAGTTCTCATACGCAACAGAGCTGCGGCTACTTTTGTTTGCTTGTTTTGGTGTGTATGTTGAAAAAATCCCCTTGCTGCATTATTTTATCCAAATTTAGTGGTTTATTTCATTAAATCACTGGGGTTGGCTGCCCCCATGACCTCAATGATGGTTTGTTCAGCAGTTGTTGTAAAAATCATGTGCTAGATGAAATAGTTCTCAACATTTGGAATGTGTAAGCAGGAAAACAGGCTGCACACCTCAAGATTGTGACTTGGGAGCTGTGGGGATAGTGGCTAACAATCTACATTTTATTAAATTCCTGAGAATTTTTCTAGGTCAAAATGGTCGAATATCAGTCATTTCATAAGAGTCAACAAGCGAGTGCCTAAGTAGTAATTAAGTGCCTAATAGATCTTCTGTCCAGGTCTGATTACAATTTGTTGAATCAGGGTGATGCCTGTGGCTCAGTGACTAGGGCACTGGCCCCCTATACTGGAGGTGGTAGGTTCAAACCTGGCCCTGGCCAAAAACTGCAGTAATAATAATAATAATAACAATTTGTTAAATCAGTTAGGATCCCAGTGAATACAGATAGGACATTTCAATTAAGATTATCAGAAGAAGGTAGATTTGCAAAGAGACTAATCCTAAAATTATGCTCTACGTGGAAGGAAACCACAAGGAATAGAGCAAGACCTTACAGCCTGCAACAGACAATGTCCTGTGGAGCAAGATTTCTTCAGAGGTGCAGAGATTTTTTAGTGGAGGAGATCGCCATCCTGAGGAGATATCCTAGGGAGACAGCCTAGAATTACATGCCCAGACTTCACTCCTATTTTTCACTCTCATCTTTAGCCAAAGTGGCCAAATTAAATTTGAAATAAGAGGCCAGTGGAGCCTGTTGATGTAGTTCATATAACTCAGCCCTCTAGAAATGAATACAGGAGAATACATATGAAAGGGAAGAGGAAAGACTGTGCACAAGGCCTTGTATTTACATTTTAAGAATAAAGGGGAGACCATGATTTGGGAGGAACGTGGCACAACATTAATACTTTTTCTACATCAAGATCACATGGTGGCAGCAGTGGTGACAGCTGATGCTATGAACTGAAGAAGAGATGATTGGAGAATTGCTTGTTTCTTTGTCACTTCTACAGCCTAAAGTTGATGCCACTGTCCAAAGGTGTCAGTCTATGTAAACTGAAATGTATTCTCTCACTCTTTTTAACCTCAGAATCAACTGGCACCTGTGGCCACCTGTGTGCATTTGCTGTGACTTGAAGTCCACTCCTTCCATTTACATGTAATCTCTCTTATGGAATTAGTGCCTCTAATTTAAAAATTTCAGAGCCAGAAGTGGGACTTGAGTGGCTGTCAGTTTTTTGGCTCCTTTTGTGGGCAGAAATTTCCCCTGCATGATGCTTGATGATTGACTAGGCAGTTTGCATCTCTCCAGTGATAAGCTGTATCCTTACCACAGGCTCAGCTCCAGCAGCTTCCTACGCATGTACCATCTGTTTTCTCTTCCACGTGGCAGCTCCCAGGTCTACTCCAGGCTTGCCTGTCTGCAGGTTAACTCTCATTTCTTTCTAGTCTTCCCCGACACAATATGGTTTTCCAGACACTGCTTCAAACTGGACAGTTTCTTTTGTTCTCTAATTAGATGATTTTGAAACTCAAGAATGTATACTTATTATGGTTTTCATATTCCATGGTGCTAG